GTTCGTAAGCAGGAGGATGAGATGTTCAAAATGCAGGAGGAAAGAGCAACTCTTCGTAAGCAGGAAGAACGTGACAATGAGACTGTTAACAGAGCGTTTGCTATCATCTACAATATTCTGCTCCAGGTCAGAACTTTCTTGAAAATCTCTTACAACTTTTAGCATCATTTTAGCATTGCGACCATTATCGTGGACGTTTGGCAATGGAGTCATTCACCAGAATTCACCTCTACAGCATGGAAATTCTGGAGATGTTGAGGAACAATGGCACAATGAAGCAAATTGTTTTGCTGTTACAGTCTGAGGTATCGAATCAGTTTTAGTATTTAAAAAAAGATTATATTTCTAGATTGATATTGAAGAGCAGCAAGCAGTACCAGAAGCAATTGGAGTCGGAGCCGCAGGATTTCTCCAGAGATGAGCAAATTGAATAAGGCGATCTTTTTCTCAGAAATTTGTTTTTCAATTTTCGAAGAAATCTGGAAAATCGTGAAAAAATTCAAAAATAAAAAAGAATTGTGGTTTTTGAGAAAAAGATTGAAATATTAAATTTCATTAAAATTGGAGTATAACGCAACAAATTTCATGCTTTGAAACGTCCTAGAACTTGAGAAAACCGTCTTTGAAAACGCTGTTTTTGCACTGAACAGGCGATTTTTGGTATTGAAACTGATATAACTCGGCTGAAACGTGGCAGAAAATTTGTACCATTCACACAGAGTTGTGCCATTTAGCAGACTCTGATCAAAGTTGAGAACCGAAACAAGCTAAAAACTGTGAAGGGAATCAATGCAATTCGCTTCCATTATAATTTTCACATGTGTTTTCAGAATTCTGAAACAATAACTCTTCTACTCCATATCAACTTGGATAATATGGGTCGATCAACAAATGGAAGACAACTACATCTGTCGACTGGAAAATATGTATATCGTACGACTGTAGAGCATAACTAAAAATAGAGAAAAATTGACGGCGCATTAGTTGAAGCAACAAAAACTGAAACTTTTTATCAAATAATCTGTATGTGTCCGTTTTCCTTATCTTTGGTTCCATTAAACCTGACCGCTGTTCATTCATGGTACACGTCATAAAATCCACATTAAATTATTTTTTACACAATCATTTCTATGTATGCTGACATTCGAAATTTTTTTCTTTTAGTTTTCAAAATTCAAAAATGTGGATTTCCCCTAAATCTTGAAAACCAGAAAGTTCCAAAAATTTTTGATTTCTCAAAAAACTTTTTTTTTGTTTCCATGTGTGGGTGAAAAATTCCTGACTCCACCCATCTGAACAACATGCAAATTTTAATATCCTTTCTTTTTTCACCTATAAAAAAAGCGCTATCAAATTCAAAAAATCATCGGAAGATTTTAAGACTGATACCTACTATTATATTCATTTTGTTTTTCA